CATATTGCCATACTAGTGTCTGTTGTGTTCTGCTGCCTTTCCTATCCTCTACTATCCCCCCTCCCCTCCCCTCCCCTCCCCTCTTCTCTCTCTGCCCCCTCTACTGACATTCATTTGTCCCCCTTGTATTATTTTTCCCTTTCCCCTCACTTCCTCTTGTATGTACTTTTGTATAACTCTGAGGGTCTCCTTCCATTTCCATGCAATTTCCCTTCTCTCTCCCTTTCCCTCCCACCTCTCATCCCTGTTTAATGTTAATCTTCTTCTCATGCTCTTCGACCCTACTCTGTTCTTAGTTACTCTCCTTATATCAAAGAAGACATTTGGCATTTGTTTTTTAGGGATTGGCTAGCTTCACTTAGCATAATCTGCTCTAATGCCATCCATTTCCCTGTAAATTCTATGATTTTGTCATTTTTTAATGCAGAGTAATACTCCATTGTGTATAAATGCCACATTTTTTTTATCCATTCATCTATTGAAGGGTCTATATCTCTCTTGAAGTAATCTTTTGCTCCCTATATTTAAACTTGGACCATTTGACCCAGCTATCCCACTCCTCTGTCTATACCCAAAGAATTTAAAATCAGCATACTCCAGGGACACAGCCACACCAATGTTTATAGCAGCTGAATTCACAATAGCTAAACTGTGGAACCAACCTAGATGCCCTTCAATAGATGAATGGATAAAGAGACTGTGGTATATATACACAATGGAACATTACTTAGCATTAAAAGAGAATAAAATTATGGCATTTTAAGGTAAATGGATGGAGTTGGAGAATATCATGCTAAGAGAAACGAAGTAAGCCAATCCCAAAAACTAAAGGTCGAATGTTTTATCTGATTAGTGGATGCTGATCTATGATGGAGCGGGGGCATGAGAAGAATGGACCATCTTTGAATTGGGCAAAGGGGAGGGTGGGGAGGGGCTCTGGGGTAGGAAAGATGGTGGAATGAGATGGACATCATTGCCCTGGGTACATGTATGATTGCATAAATGGTGCATCTCTACACTGTGTACAACCAGAGAGTTGAAATGTTGCACTCCATTTGTGTATAATGAATTGAAATGCATTCTGCTGTCGTGTACAACTAAGTGGAACAAATAAAAATAATAATAGGGGCTGTGGCTATGGCTCAGCGATAGTGCACTTGCCTGGCATGGGTGAGGCACTGGGTTCGATTCTCAGCACCACATAGAAATAAATAAAATGAAGGTCTATCAACAACTAAAAAAGTATTTTAAAATAATAATAACAATCAAACTGCAAAGGGTTAATAATTATATATGCACCGATTTGCAAACCAGCAGGAGAAAGGCCAGGGACCACAAGGGGAAAAAAAAAAAAAAAAAAGACAAAGATGTGAGCTGGCAACTCACAGAGGAGGCAACCTCAATGGTAAGTGCCTGAAAACTGCCTTACGTCTTCAGTCCTCAGATACCCCCATCAAAATAAAGCACCACTTTCTTCCTCCTTTTTTTTTTCTTCTAAGAAGAGGAAGAGAAGCCACTCCTACAATCCCAGTGACTCAGGAGGCTGAGGCATGAAGATCCCAAGTTTGAGGCCAGTCTCCCGAGCAACAACGTAGAGCAAACACATTTGTGTCTTTCCACATGTAGGGTTTATTTGTTTGTTTGTTTGGGGGTGCTGGGGATTGAACCCAGGGGCACTTGGCTACTGAGCCCATCCCCAGCCCTATTTTGTATTCTGTTTAGAGACAGGGTCTCCCTGAGTTGTTTAGTGCCTTGCTTTCGCTGAGGCTGGCTTTGAACTCTTGATCCTCCTGTCTCAGCCTCCCCAGCCACTAGGATTACAGGCGTGCACCACTGCGCCCGGCCAGAATTTATTGAATATAATGAATTCACAAGTTACACCACTTTCATCGGTGGCAGTTCACTGCGTACTTGCAGGTCATCTAATAGTCAAAAACCACACAATCACTGATTCTTTGATCCCACTCTTAAGTTTTAATGTCTATAACACTCAAGTCTCTTAAGGGTTCTAGGCTGCTCTGCCAAGAGCACAGGCAGAGAGCAAAGAGTCCCTGTAGGTGGTCAGATAAGGGTTGGGTTTTTTTTAAATATTTTTTATACCTTTATTTTGTTTACTTTTTTTTAATGCAGTGCTGGGGATCGAACCCAGTGCCTCACGTGCTAGGCAAGCAGCCGTGCCACTGAGCCACAACCCCAGCCCCAGATAAGGGTTTTAACTAAGCAGCTCACAGAGTTGTCCAGGCAGAGATCAGCTGGGCGGGGGCCCCTGCCGTGTCTTCACAGGCAACAGAAACACCCTGAGCGGAAGCCCAAGAGAAACAGAGGTTCATCACGGTGACGATTTGCCTGGGCAAGGCTCATGACAAGTGACCAGGTGATGGGGTCAGGGTGTGTTTCAGTCAGTTTTTTCATTGCTGTGACCAAAAGACCTGACAAGAACAATTAGAGGAGGAAAAGTTTATTTGGGGGCTGACGGTTTCAGAGGTCTCAGTCCATCGATGACCAGCTCCATTCCTCAGGACCTGAGATGAGGCAGAACACCATACGGAAGTGTGTGGCAGAGGAAAGCAGCTGGGGACAGGGCACCAGGAAGCAGAGAGAGAGCGTGTGCTGTCCTCACTACAACAAAACCTAAGTCCCAACGGCACACCCCCAGGAACCGGCCTCCTCCAGCCACACCCCACCTGCCTAGTCACCACCCAGTTAATCCGTGTCAGGGAATGAAGGCACTGATTAGTTTAAGACTCTCATACCCCAGTCACTTCACCTCTAAACTATCTCGCATTGTCTCACACATGAGCTTTTGGGGGGTACCTCATATCTAAAAACATAACAGGCTGCTGCCGTGTCCATTCTTGGGGGGCTTCTTCTTTTATGGGTCAGAGGTGATGGGGTCACATCTGATGAGGTTGACAAGTTCCTGTGTTCAGTGTTCCTGGTGTGATTTGGCATGGGCACAGGTCCAGGTGTTCCTGATTCTGTCTGATAAGTTGGCACCAATAAGTTATTTATCAATTTGTGTTTTTATGATTGTGCCGGGCAGATGATGGTTCTTTACTTGTACAAATATGGTGTAGAGTCATTCTACCTTGGCCCTTGGACTCAAAGTGGAGCAACATATTGTAAACTACTGCTTTACAAAGTGGAGTAACTTTGGTTTAGGCACAGCCTGAACACTGTTATATCAAGGAGTAACTCCCGGGATGGGGCTGTCGCTCAGTGGCGAGCACTTGCCTAGCATGTGTGAGGCACTGGGTCCGAGCCTTGGCACCACATAAAATAAACAAATAAAGGCATTCTGTCCATCTACAACTTCAAAAGTTATAAAAAAAAAAAAAAAAAAGGAGTAACTCCAGCAGGGCACAGCCTATTGTCCACACCTCTGCAAGTTAGCAAGACCCTGTCTCAAAAAGTACAAAGTAGCTCAGTGGGTCCAGTTTCCAGCACGCACACACACAGGAAGAGAGAGAGGAGAGGAAAAAAAAGAAAGAACAGAGGGAGAGAAGGAAGGAGGAAGAAGGAAGGAACCAATAAGGCACCATTTGCAACTCAGGAGACTGGCCGGCCCAGGAAGCTGGATGACAACAGGTGATAAGAGAAAACTAGAAGCACCCAGGTGTGTGCATCAACACCCATGGCTACTCAGGAGAGCATCTGCCAGCTTCAAGAAATCACAAGGGCATGTGCCCTGTGACCTGGAGTCCTGCCCGAGGAGAGCTCTCCCACATCTAAAGAGGCAGAAAGAAGATGTTCATGTCAGCGGTGTGTGTAATGGGGACGTCAGGCCAACCTGAGTGTGATCACCATAGGGGCAAGGCGGATAATAAAAGCCCCAGAAGTTCAATGTGCTGTAACCTGCAAGCCACTAGGAGCAACAAACAAGATGCACATGGAAAACGTTACCGGTGAGTGGAAAGATGTGAAGATTAAGTGGCAGAATTAGCTTGATAGCTGACACCATGTCTGTCAATTGCAAGCACATTCACATAGGAGATTCGCCATGTGCCATTCAGGCCAGGCAGGATTGGCTGTGGTCTGATGGAAGGGAGGTAAGAGGGAAGATGAGAAGCCACGAAGGGGGAATGAATTAATGGAATTCGATACGTGATGCAAAGCTGACTAAAGACTGCACAGTTGGGGACAGTCTCTGAGAGGTGACGACTGAGCAAGGATGAAGATAACAAAAGCTGTGAGAGGAGCAAGGTTAAGTGCCACTGGGCACAGGAAGCAGCATGTGCAAGCCTCTGAGGTGGGCATGAGCTTGGCCTGTGCAGTGTGGCTGACCGGGATGTGGAAGGGGCAGAGGGGGACTTGGGGAGGGTGGAAGAGGTGGACAGGCACCGAGGCATTCAGAACTTTGTGTACCCTAATCAAGCGTTCAGATTTTATTCAACTACAATAAGAGGAGAGATTGACTAGCCTACTTTTTAAAGTTTCTTTTCTGATTCTTTTGGTTTTGGTTTGGATTCAGGATTGACCCCATGGCCTGCATATGCTCTTCTACTGAGCTACATGCCCAGACCATAATATAAATAAATAAATAAATTTTATTTAAGAATAACATACAGAGAGAAAAAGATACATTTGTAAAGATGGCTTTGGCTGCTGCATGGAGACTGGACTGGAGGACAGTAAAAGAAACGTAAACTCAGCCTCAGTTTCCACATCTGCAAAATAGCAAGAACACTCCTTCCACTCAGGGCCGTGGTGAGCAAGGTGGGAAAACAGCTCCCTGGCTCCTGTCTTTTGCTCCTGGGATGCAAAAGGCCGCCTGTGGGCCCTGGGCAGCTGGGGCATGCAAGGCCCTCCGAGCCAGTGTCAGGCCCCAGGATCGCGCCCGGCTGTCACTCGCCGAGGCGGCCTCTGGGCGGCGCTGCGGGCCTGCCCAGCTCCGGGCAGGAAGCGGCCCCGCCCTCAGTGCACTCGGCGCTCCGTAGGTCCTGCCTGTTCAGGGCGGGGCGAGGCGGGGCGGGGCCTATGCGGGGGCGGGGGCGGGGCCGCGGCGACGCGGGGTTGACAGGCGCAGATGGCGGCGGCGCAGGGCTCCTGAGCCGGAGGCGGCCATGAGCGCCGCCCGGCCCCAGTTCAGCATCGATGATGCCTTCGAGTTGTCCCTGGAGGACGCGGGTCCCGGGCCCGAGTCCAGCGGGGTCGCCCGCTTCGGGCCGCTGCACTTCGAGCGCCGGGCCCGGTTCGAGGTTGCCGACGAGGACAAGCAGTCCCGGCTGCGCTACCAGGTGAACGGCCCGGCCCACCTCACCCCTGCTCCGGGCCAGTCGGGACCCCCGGCCGAGCCCTGGAGAGACGCAGCTCCGGCCAGACCTAGAGGCCCCAGCCGGAGCGGAGGCCGCTCCCCGGACGTGACTCCTGATCCAGAGCCCTGTCCAGACCCTCTCCACTCCGATTTAGGTCCCCAGCCCGCTGGAGAGCCCGCGGCCACGGTGGAGAACCGCACGGAGTCCCCACCCATCCTGGGGACCGACCCTTCTCCCCCGCGGGGTTTGGGGAACCTTCTGTATCAACGAAACCTTGCCCATATGCGGAGCATCAACCTGAGCCCTAGGCGGGATGATCTAAAAGGAACCTGCACCCCTTTAGAGCTTGAGGCCCCACCCACATGAGGAGTTGTCTTTGCCCACCCCTTGTCTCCTACTGAACTGGAAATCCTCATTTTCCGAAACCTCCAACAGCCCTTGGATCCTTTACCTGAACCAGATTCCTGTGCCCCAAACCCGGGAACTCTAGGCCTCTCTTTCCCTATCACCCTACACCCGGAGCCTCCATGATGGGCCCCTGAAATAGCATCCTGAGAGTTCTACCCTGTCTCCCAAACTTGGGAGATCCCCTACCCCTGGGACTTCTGCCGACTCCTGTTCCCCAAAGCCCCCAGCATCCACCCACTTCTACCTGGGTTTCGGTTTCTGTGAATCATCAAACCCGTTCTACTGGGAGGGTGGAGGGCCAGGAGAGCAGCTGCTAGGCGGCCAGGCAGCCAGGCCAACAGCTGTGTGGGCTGCCTTCTCTCCAAGAGAGAAATCAGGAAGGGCCTGAGCCCAGCAACCCCCCTGAACCCTGTGTTCTGGAACAGAACCTGGAGAATGATGAGGATGGAGCCCAGGCCTCGCCAGAACCGGATGGGGGAGTCAGCACCAGGTCAGGGCCAGGTGGGGACCCACCCCATTCCCCAAGCCCCATGCATCTGGCTCCTGTCCACAGGGATCTACCCAGCCCCCCACTCCACTACACACAGCTCTGCTGTGTTCAGTCTTATGAAAAATTCCTAGCCCCATTCCCCTTGTGGGGTTCCCTGTCCAGCTGGTCACCCTATAGTTTGCATTCTCACCCATCCAACCCTACGAGGCTCTTTATCTGACAGGTCTGACCCCCACTTTCCCATAGGTCACCTGTCATGACCTCTCATCCCATCTTCCCCTATCAGGTAGCCCTGCAGAAACCCCCAGCCCTTGAATTCCTCCTTGTCCTTATCTCTGCTCAGGATCCTCTTTCCCATAGAGGCCAGCCCTAGTGCCTGCCATACACACACACACACACACACACACACACACACACACTCTTCATCAGGACTCCTGTCCCAAAGGATTCCCTGTTTCCCCCTTCCCCCCACCTGCAGGGATTCTGGCGGAACATCTATGCGCAGCTCCCAGTGGTCCTTTAGCACCATCAGCAACAGCACCCAGCACACCTACCATTCCTGCTGCAGGTGAGACCCTGCTCACTTGAGCCCAGTCCCCTAGTGCCTGAAGCCCTAGCCCTGGCTCTCTCCTCCCCACCCTTTGCCTCTTTCACACCCATCCTGCTCTCCTGCCGTCCAGCTGGACCAAACATCCTTTGATCCAGAAGAACCTCCGGGTTGTGCTGGCCTCCTTCCTGCTCCTGCTGCTGGGGACAGGTGAGTGCCCTGAGGGTGCCCTTGCCTCCCCTCCCTCCTTCCGTGAAGGCTCTGCTTCCCTTTGGTACACTGGACCTCCCAGCATCCAAGGAGACAGCTAGCTTCCATCACCCCTCCCCGTGTTACAGTGAGGAACTGAGGCCTGTGATGGGCAGGCCCAGGCTCCTGGTAACTCAGCGAGAAAATCACACATAGAGCTGGAAATGGAACCTGTACCAGCTACCATTTATTGGGTCTACTTAAAGGCACATTTACTTTCTACCTTTCAGAGGTCACACAGAAAGAGAGAGCAGGGCCCAGAACTTTGTGTAGGGGAATGTGCTCAGGGATATGGGTGACCCTGTGGCCAGAGATGCTGAGTGTCTGCCACCCTGATCCAGAACTCTGTCACTGCCTATTCTCTGAAGTCTGAGAACTGATCAGAACTCCTCTCCACCCCTATTGCTCAGATGGGGAAACTGAGGCCCAGAGCAGGCGGATCTCACCGACAAATGTCTCTGAATCTCAGGCTTCTCATTGTACGGGGCTGAGGAGGCAGGGTTCCCAGAAAGGATCCAGCATTCCTTATGGCCATAAGGGGTCCATAAGGAAGGTGGCAGTCACTGTGGCTCCTCCTCCCTCCCTTTTCCAGGAAGGTCAAAGCCCCCATCAGCCAGGCCCCCTGGCCAGAAAGCCTGGCCCGGCTCCAGGTGTTTGAGTGCAGAGGAGAGAGCTGCTACTTTCCATCACCACTGCACACTGGGCACTAATGGCACTGGCCACTGGCGCGCTCTCCACAACCTAGCAAAGCAAGCATCATTGCCATCCCAGCTTTGGAAATAAGGACACAGGTCAGGCAGGTGAAGGGCCTTGCCCAGGTTGCAAGTTGATGAGCTGGGATTTAAGCCCACATCTGTGACTGCCAGGCCTGGAGGCCACCAGCAACCCACAGAGGGCCCTTGAAGAAATTAGAAAAACAGGGCAGAGCCTGCAGCAGCTCTAGGCCAAGGTGCAGGGAGAGAGAGGGGACCACTTTTTGAGGCTTTCTGTGCATACACAAAGCAGGCAACAGTCCATGGTGGCCCTCAAGCCCCAGGCTGTACCACCTCTCTTGCTGTACCCTGCCCTCTGTCAATCCTCTAAGTGGGAACTGAGGACTGTGGGTCTGAAAAGTAGACCTAGGCATGACCTCTCCACCTTCCCCCAAACGCACTGTCTTCCACCAAAGTCCGTATCCCTACCTGGTGCTATAAGCCCTACCATCCCTCCTGCCTGCGCTCTTCCTGTCCAGTCTTGCCAAACGCCAGAAGCTCTTAGAAAGCCTAGTTCCCTCCAAATTCCGAGCCTTTGCTGTGCTATTCCCCTGTCTGAATTCTCTCTCTGCCTGAATGGCGCCCCCAGCAAAGCCTCTAGAGTTAGCCAGCCTCCACCTTCCACCTGCTGCCAGAGGAAGTGACTTCCCCTCTCTGTGCCTCAGTTTCATCTTATACCTGTCTCATTTGGTCAAGGTGACAGTTAAATAAGGCAGTGCATGTAACACACTTAGCCCAGTGGCTGGCAGAGCCTGGTAAGTGATCTTTAAGTATTAACTGTGATTGCTATTGCTATTGCCACCCTTGCTCAGCTTAGATGTCACTGCCTCCGGGAACCCTCTCCCTGGTCCCCTGGCTGGCTCCAGCAGGACTCCTCTGGATTCCCACACTGCCCTGTTCTTCCCCACCATATCCCGATCACCTGGGTTATAGCTTTCAGGTTCTCCTTGGACCCTTCACTAAGGAAGGGCCATGAGGGCAGAGACCTCATTTCCCTTTCGCCTGGGAATTCCCAGTACCATGCATGCAGGAGGTGTCCCCTAAGTATTAGCAGAATGACAGGTCACACCAAACTCATTTCACAGACATTCCGCAGGGCCTGCCAAGTGCCCTGCTCTGAAGACAGAACTTGGTGAACTTCCTGGGGAGGGTCTCCACCCAGGGGCATCTGCTCAGGCGGGGGACACCATTCCTCGGCCTGAGCCTGGTTGTGGGGTGGGGGTGGAAGTCCCGCCCTCACCCCGCGGCCATCTGTGTGCAGCGCTGATCCTGGTCGGCGTGGGACTGGAGGCGGCCCCCTCGCCAGGTGAGCGCCCCTTCCCACCCGAAGGCAGCAGCCCTGGCCTTACGCCCGTGGGTCCTTGGTGGGCACTTTTCGGCAGAGTGAGGGCCCTGAGCCTGCCCTCCTCCCTCCGCAGGTGTCTCCAGCGCCATCTTCTTCGTGCCAGGCTTCCTGCTGCTGGTCCCAGGAGGTGCGAGCGGGCGCCAGGGCAGGGCGGGGGCGGGGAAGGGCGGAGCTTCGCACTGACAGGCCCCGCCCCGCAGTCTACCACGTGATCTTCATCTACTGCGCCGTCAAAGGCCACCGGGGCTTCCAGTTCTTCTACCTGCCCTACTTCGAGAAGTGAGCCGCTGGCGGGACGCTGGCGGGACGGTCGATGCCTGCGATTCGAGGCCGGGCCGCCGCCTCGCGTGCGCGGAGGCTACTCCGACCTGTGCGCCTCTTCTCAAGGGAAGAGGTCCTCTGGGACCCTCCCAACCCCAGACCCCCAGGAGTTTGCTCAGGAAGTGTGGGGCGCGCAGGCCTGGGCCTAGGAACGCCACCCCTTGCCTGCTTTGTGCCTTAACTTATTCTCAGGCCCTGGAGTGTTGAGTCGATGTTATTTTGTGCTAATAAAAGGATCATTAATTCCAGCAGGGATAGTTGCTCTTCCTGGCCCAGCCCGCCAGCCTGACCATGGCCTCTTACACTAAGGCTGAGAAAAGGCCTGATGCTAGACTAAAGGGCTTCTAGAACCACCGACCTCCAGATGATGTGCCAGGACGATCCTGATGCTCTGAGACTTGCCTGAAGTCACAATATGTTGGGGGCAAAGCTGGGCTTGGAAGTCGCAGTTCCAGTGTTCCTTGGTCCCAGCCCTGAGCAGACTCAGCCCACCCTGTCTGCCCAGAGAGGCAGCACCAGCACCTGTACTGGAGGCTGCTAGCCTCGTTCCAGCTGGCTCTGGGCCCTGGGCCGCCACAGCCAGCCCTGAATGTGGGCCATGAGGCAGCAGTGGCCCAGCCCCCTGGGTCCATCGCCCTACTTCCCAGCCCCAGAGGTTGGGAGAACCAGGGGACAGGGCATGGGAAGCAGGGCCTCATGACAGAGAGCCTTGGGATCAAAGACCTCAGAATGCTAAAAACAGACCATCCCAGAATTTTGGAAAATCAAAGCATCTCAGAACCTTAGGAACCAAGAAACACAATCTTAACCCTAAAATCTAAGCTCATAGCAACCATTCATCGTGTTCTTACAAGGCTAATTGACAGTTAGAAACATAAGCCAGGGTTCCAGCGCCCTGGGCCCAGGAACCTTTCCGTGACACTTGGGGAGAGGCCAGAGAAGGAAACCAGGCCCGTGTCCCCTACCTCCCAACCTAAGGATAAGCTAGAGGAGTGTATTGTCCCCAAACTAAACATGAGTGTGCTTAGTGAGGGGCTGCCCACCTGCCCGAGTCTGCAGCACCAGGACAGCGCACACCTTTAGAGTCCTGCACCTTTGTTGAATGAATAAGCACCCAGATCCCCACCATTACTCCTGCTGTCCTGGCCCACCCAGGCCCGCCACCCTCAATCCCCTTTGAATGAAGGAACTCTTTAAACAATGTTCCCAAACTAGCTGTGGGCAAGGACCAGTTTACATTTCTAATCCATCATGGACCAATAGTTTTGTAAGATTAAAAACTAGAAAAAAATCAAGACATACAGATTCTAAGCCCACAGTATTATCAGATTGCTCACATAAAATTGCAATTTGAAAAGTATCTTAGAACAAATATAGGAAAGAAGAAAAATTACAAAACCTATTCAGTGAGCAGGTAGGCAACACAGTCACAATCTTATGGTGCTGGGGATGGAACCCAGGGCCTTGTGCATGCCAGCCAAGCCCTCTACCTCCAAGCCACACCCCCAGCCTAGGGTGTATATTTTTCTGGTTAATTTATCCAACCCAAATTGCGTGAACAGCAATACTTCTTTTTAAATTTTTTTATTTGTAGATGAACACAATACCTTTATTTTATTTTTTAATTTTATGTGGTGCTGAGGATCTAATGCAATGCCTCACACATGCAAGGGAAGACTCTGCCACTGAGCCCCAGCCCCAGCCCGTGAATAGCGATACTTCTAAACTCTAAATATATACTGCACATAATTTCTTTTGAAGACATTAATAGGAACATATAGATTTCTTTGGTGAATCATGACGCCATTTATCCCTTATGCTTCTGCCTCATAGCTCATTTCTATCTGATTTTCCCATAGTTACACTAGCTCTCTTTTGGTTAATTTTCTCCTGGTAAATCTTTTATCTGAGCCATCAGTTTCAGCCTTCCACTTGTCATTATTCTTTGAGTGTGTCTTCTGCATCCTTGACTCACCTATGGGGAAGAATCTGAGATCTGCCCTTCTGTATCTGCTCTCTGCCCTTGTAAAGAACCCCTGATTTTTAGTTGGGCACATGACCTTACAAGTAAAGACTACATTTCCCAATACCCTTTGCAGCTAGGTGTATCATGTGATAAGCTCTGTCTATTGGGATGTAAGGGAGGGAGGCGCAGGTGCTGAGGATTGAACCCCGGGGCACTTGACTACTGAGTTACATCTCTGGCCTTTTTAATTTAATTTAATTTTTTATTTTGAGGTAGGGTCTTTCTAAATTGCTGAAGCTGGTCTTGAACTTGCAATCTTTTTGCCTCAGCTTCCCAAATGGCTGGGACTACAGGTGTGTACCATTGTGCCCAGCCAGATTGTTCATACTCTTTTCCTCTTTTTCCTTTATACCTGACTCCATCCTGCCACCAGGAAAACAAACAAATGTGGGCACTCCCTAAGGATGGCAGAGCAGTCAGCCAGAAGGAGGCTGGGTCCTTGAAGAATATATACAGTTGGGCTCCACCTATAGACTTTTCTTGAGCAAGCAAATTTCTACCCAGGTTAAAACACTGTTGTTTTTGATGAGTTATAAGAAAAACAACCTAATATTTTTTAATTTTTTGTTTTTCTGTTTTTGTGTGTGGTGCTGGGGACCAAACCCAGGGCCTCACACATGTCAGGCAAGTACTCTACCACAAGCCAGACCCCCACACCATTAGCACTTTCTTTGGGGACTGGGACTCTCTGACTTTAAACTAACAAATTTAATGTATTTATATTTATTGTAATAATTGATTTTTAAAGGATTATTTCTACTTTCTGTCTTAATATTTTCTATGTATTTTATTTTTCTTTGCCTTTTTCATCCTCTATCCCAACTTTCTACTGGTTTAATCAAGAATTCCTCATCTACCCTCCTCTACTGATCTGAGTATTGAGTGGAACAGTCTATTCCTGTTGTATTAATGGCTTCCCTTAAGTGGTCAACAGAGTCTAATGCTAACCAACAAACCTAGCCTTCTCTAGGACAGCATCATCATGTCCACATGCCCCATCGTCCCTGCCCCTCTGTCTTGAGGATCACTTGTTTCCCCACAAGGCCCTAAATATCCTTGCCACTTTCCCAGACTGGTCGGTGGAGACAGGAACAAGGCAGCCCTTTGAGACCCTGGAATGTATCTGTGAGGTTCATTTCTTGCCCCTGCCTGCAGACTTGCGTGGGTCTCTGTCACTCGTGGGTGCTAGAGCCCAGGCCCCCAAGCCTCTAGCCAGGTGCCAAACTTTGGTCTCTTTTCTTTGGAAACTGGGGTCATCCCCTTCTTTCAAGTCCATTTTTTAAAAAGACATTTTATATATGTTAGGAATGAGCGGGATCCAGCCACCCTCTCAATTCACTATGTTACTGGGGATCCCCTAACGCTTCCCCCTACTGGGACACTGCCTGTGCCCAGGTTTGGGAGAGATCCAAACTTCACCCACAGTGGAGATGATGGGCAGTTGAGGGCAGGTCTTCGTCCAGGCAGCTCCAGCAGGGGTAGGTGAGCATAAAGGTGGCTGAGACATCCAAGCAGACTCCCTGGTGGTGTGTGGTCCTGGGGGGCCTCTGGGTCTCTTCCATCCTGGAGCTTCTTCGTAGGGGGGAGGGTGTGCAGTCCAGGCCCTGCTGGTGTCTGGGGCCCCAGGTCTCAGTGGGTGGACAACATCATCACAAACTCTGCAGGAGAGAGGGATGGGGCTTGGGCCTGTCCAGAAAGTGGGATCCTCCTGGGTGCTGGAGGGACAGGAGGAGTGACTTGGAGGCGACTCACCATCAAAGTCTATGGTGCCGTCCCCATTGAGGTCCATGTCTCGGAGCATCTCATCCAGCTCAGAACCCTCCAGTGACTCCCCGAGGAGAGGCGGTGCTGCCTGCTGCAGCTCTGTGACTGTAATTCTCCCATCCTTGTCCCTGTCAAACTAGGGTCCAGGCACAGTTCAGCTCTACCCACCCTAAGCTTCCCCTCTACTAGCTCCACTCTTGCCACTCACTGCCTATGGGCAAGATGCCACCTCCACCACTACCTCACCCACCCAACCTTCCCATCCTCCCATGCCAAGATGGGGCACCCTGATTCTGGAAGGCTCTATAGTTCATGCCTCCAGCTGCACATGAGCCTAGCCCTCTCTGCACATCCCTGGGCCTCATCCTGAAGACTGAGGCCACCAGTCTCCCAGAAGTGACATTGTCCAGCCCTGCCCCCCGCGGCCCACCCAACCTCCACACCTCTTGGAAGGCGATGCGCAGCTCCCGAACCCCCAGCATGTGTGCCGTCTCCTCTCTCAGCTTTGGGCCTATCAGCTCCACAAACTCCTCAAAGTCCACACAGCCACCCACTGTGGACCCAGACACAGTGTCACAATCTGGCCCCAAATGGGACATCAAAAGGGAGGGTGCAACCCCCCCACACAAGGCTCTGCATTCAGGAGGGCATATCCCATGCCGGCACTGTGGGGTGGGAAGCTGGAACTCAGTCCCCTGCCTCTGCTTTCTGTGAAGAACCCGGGTATGGGAGAAAGAAACCAGGGTTTGGAGCAGAGCAGCCAGGTTCAAACCCTGACTCTGCTGCTGAGATGCATGGCCTTGGGCAGCTTAGCCCCTCCCTCCCCCAGCAGTCCCTCGGTTCTAAGATGCTGCCAATCCTATAAGGCACCGGTGGCCAAATAACAGCTTTGGGGGAGAGGAGGAAGCACAGCCCTGCGCGCACACACCAGTCACAAATCACATGCCTGTTTTGGAAACTGCAAGAAAATAACCCACAGAGATCCCAGAATGAAGGGACTTGGTATCGCCCCAGGACAAAGCAGCCAATGATAACCTCACAGCGCTTAGTCACAGGGCAGCCAGGGCACTGTCACACCAGGCCTCCCTGAGCCTCCTGAGACTGTATTCCAGGTGACCTCAATTCAGGCAGCTGCCCCAAGGAATGGGGAGGATGGCAGGGTGGGAGAGAGGGAGCTGCGGCTAGTCCCTGCAGACAACCGGCATCACCCAGTAGGAGGAGCCAGGCCAGGAGGCAGCGCAGGCTCAGGTGGAAGGAACAAGGGTGTGCAGAGGCCACAGCAGTATCCGGAGGCCAGGTTCCTCAGCCTGAGCCCCAGACGACGCTCTTGGATCACCCACCTCCCACCCTTGCCCCGCTCCCCTCACCAGGAGGCTGCAGCGCCGACCTGGTGTCCCCACACCTGATGGGACCAATGTGGTCCTGTGGCTACCCCGAGGCTCTCCTTCACACCCACCACGGCCCCTGACGGGCTCTTGGAGCTCCCCCCCATCCCCTGTGATCCTCCTGAAGACCAGGGCTGCCCTGAGCTGGGCACCGCCAGGCAGGCTCCCACCCGCCGCCCTGCAGGGCCCATCACTGACTGCGCATCTTCACGTGCTGCGAGACCTCGATGAGCTCCATCTCGGTGGGCATGTAGCCCAGGGTCCGCATGCAGGCACCCAGCTCCCGGTAGCCGATGTAGCCGTCCCGGTCAGTGTCAAACTCCTCGAAGGCAGCCTGCAGCTCTGTCAGGGAGAGAGGTCATGCCAGGTGGCCAGGCCCAGGGACACCTCTCCCCACCCCCACAGTCAGGAGAGACACTTACCCTCCCGCTCCTCTGGGCCCAGCTCACGGTCCTGTGGGCAATAGTCCAGCATGTCCCTGGGGCCAGCCACGGCTCTGTCTGTCCTTCCTCCTCCAGCTCCTGCCTGTGCTCCTGCTCCTGGGCAGGGCCACCCTCCACCACCACCACCCAGGGGCAAAGGCAGCTGAAGTCCCGAGGGTCCCAGGAGCAAAGAGCCCTTACTCTGTGCCCCTGGCACCTTGAGTGGGTTCCACAGAGCCCCAGCTCTGAAGCCTGGCTCTGCCCACTGCACCAGCAGGCCTGAGACCCCAAGTCTGGAGCAGAAGAAGCAGGGGGCCCAGGTACTTAGGGGCCAGGAGGGCTGACCCCAAGGGATAGGAATCTCCACCCACATCCTCGAGACCCTCCGCCCTGCCCAGGCCCCTGACCTTCCCAAAGATGCGGTTGAGCAGGGGCCCGTATGTCCTCTGAGCAGCATCCTGCTGGGGGTCAGGGCGATGTCGATGGGACTGGCGGCGTGATGTGAGAGGTGGCCCCCCCTGCCCCTCTCCAGTCTTGGAAGGATTCTTGCTGTTCCCTGGGGCCTCAGGGCCCTGGACAGAAGTCTGCTCACCAGAGCTGCCCTTATGGGACCCTCGGAGTCCCCTCTCCTTCTTGCTCTTCCTCCTAGTCAAGGGGGCCCCCTCAGCACCACTGCCAGGGGCCACAACCCCCTCAGGGGACTTCTGGGGGTTCTGCTCTGTGGCCATGTAGGAAGGGATGGCAGGGCTCAGGAACACAGCGTCCCTGAGCACCCTTGGCTCTTGGGACCCATAAAGCTGCTTACGCACCCCCAGCCTTAGAGTTGATCGCCTGGGATGGGCCCTGAGGGGGATTAGGGTGAGTAGGCAGGCGGCCCAGGACCTCATCCCTGCCCTCTGCCCTGGGGTGGCCAGGGTAATGCCAGGTTGGTCACCAGAACTGTCCTCAGCAGAGAGGGGCAGGACATGTGGCTGCCCCTAGTTTCCAACTCCAGTTCTGCCATGTTGCAGCTGGAAACCGGGTTGTTGAACACCCCTAGTCCCAGTTCTTCATCTGGAGATGGCGACTCGAGCAAGGGGGAGGTGGGAAAGGAGGTGATAAGTTGCCCCCAGGGGCCCCTACGAGGTGACATCCTGGCTGAAACAGAGGGCAAGTGTCACTGAAAAGAGGGGCCAGGTTAGAGGGGCCAAGGTGCAGTGTCAGTGGAGCTGTATCCTCTGGGGCTGACAGCCTGCGGGAGGGGCCCAGGCATGGTGCTGTCGTCTGGCCCTGTCAGGATGGGGGCCCTGGCTGGTCATTTGGCTACTGGGCCAGGGTTAGGGTTTCCCGGAGAGCCGTCCCATGAATGATTGATCTCCTCTCAGCTTGGGTTTCCTGCCTGCCCGCCTTCATGTCACAGAGTGCCACACAGCGGGCCCTGGCGTGGGGTGGTGGGTGGCTGGGCCGCTGGGCAGCAGGCACGCCCTGCTCCTTCCGGCCAGCTGCTGCCTGCATCTCACAGGTAAGCCAGGCACCATGGCCAGGGCCCTGGGGGAGGGTGCCCAGGATTCTGGTCCAATAGGGGTCTGCAGAGGAAGAGCTCCAAAGTGTGGGGAAGCCAGGGGCTTAAAGTGGTTGCAGCCGTGGGCCCCAGGCGGAATCCAGCCCAGCCGGCATCTGGTCTGTCCCCTAGCTACCACCTCAGAGGAATGCTCACTCCTGTCCACTGGCTGGAGAAGGTGCGGTGGGGACCACAGGCCTTTTGAGTTCCCAACCTGGGTGCCCCCAACTGCATCTCCCCACTCCTTACCCTGCAAAGCCCCCTCTCTAGTAGCTCCAGGAGACAAACAGAGCTACCTGCGCCTGAGCTCTAGAAAGCAGGAAAGGGCACGGGGCGGGGGGCAGAGGATGCTGAAGAGCCGCACACTGCTCCTGGGATAGGTCCCCTAGCTGCCTGTGCTGAGGCTCAGACCTCGCCCCAAATTCCTGAGCAGCATGCATGCAGGGAGGGGCTGCCTGCCCAGCCTTAGACTCCTATGGGTCCATGACACCCAGAGCCCTCCCCCTCTTGGAATTTTAAACACTTGAACCCCAGAAAAATCAAGCATAAAGGGATCTTGTGAAGAGCCGATCAACTGGTTTTCAAACTCTGTCCCCTGGAACCCTGGGGGGGGTGCTCTTCAGTGTCCTTTTAGTTCATATAGGAGTTCAACTATGTTTTATTGAGACAAGATTCAGTGGATTTGGGCCTGGAGCAGTGGCACACACCTGTGATCCCAGCAGCTTGAGAGGCTGAGGCGGGAGGTTTGAAGCCAGCCTCAGCAACTTAGCAAGGCTGTAAGCAACTAGTGAGATCCTGTCTCCTAACGAAAAATAAAAAGGTCAGGGAACGTGGCTCAGTGGTTAAGGGCCTCTGGGTTCAATTCCTGGTACCCCCCCCCCAAAAAAAAAAAAAAGATTCAGTGTTTGAAAGCCTCTGTGGGTCTGCTTGGACTCATGGTTTCCATGGTCAGAGGCTTAAGTTCTGGTAGTTTCCTTCCTGTCCATGACCTTGGACAATTCACTAACTCAATGAACCTTCTTTCATCTATAAAATGGGTCCTAAGAGGACTACATGAGGTGTCCCTGGCAGGAGATGACTACTCAAGGACAAGATCAGGGAGGGACAGTGATTGGCAGGGAGATGCACATGTCCTGTGTCTCATACTCAGTCATCTGTGCCTTCATTCATCCAGCAGGTGCCCAGTCCATGTCCAGCAGGACACTGGGGACACTGTTATGGAAGCCAACCTGGACATGACTGGCCGTGGGCCCCGCACAGAACTGGACGATGAGGACTACTACCCCCAGGGTGGCTGGGACACAGTCTTCCTAGTGGCCTTGCTGCTCCTGGGGCTGCCAGCCAACGGGCTGATGGCGTGGCTGGCCGGCTCCCAGGCCCGGCATGGGGCGGGCACGAGGCTGGCCCTGCTCCTGCTCAGCCTGGCCCTCTCCGACTTCTTGTTCCTGGCGGCAGCAGCCTTTCAGATTCTGGAGATCCAGCATGGGGGGCACTGGCCACTGGGGACAGCTGCCTGCCGCTTCTACTACTTCCTGTGGGGTGTGTCCTACTCCTCCGGCCTCTTTCTGCTGGCAGCCCTCAGCCTGGACCGCTGCCTGCTGGCACTGTGCCCGCGTTGGTACCCTGGGCGCCGCCCGGCCCGTCTGCCCCTGTGGGTCTGTGCTGGGGTCTGGGTGCTGGCCACACTCTTCAGTGGGCCCTGGCTGGTCTTCCCTGAGGCCACCGTCTGGTGGTACGACCTGGTCATTTGCCTGGACTTCTGGGACAGTGAGGAGCTGCCCCTGCGGATGCTCGAGATCCTGGGGGGCTTCCTGCCGTTCCTCCTGCTGCTGGTGTGCCACGCGCTCACCCAGGCCACCGCCTGCAGGACCTGCTGCCGCCACCAGCCCCGGCCCCCTGCCTGCCATGGCTTTGCCCGCGTGGCCAAGACCATTCTGTCAGCTTATGTGGTCCTACAGCTGCCCTACCAGGTGGCACAGCTGCTCTACCTGGCCTTCCTGTGGGACCTCTACCCCGGGTACCTGCTCTGGGAGGCCCTGGTCTACTCAGACTACCTGATCCTGCTCAACAGCTGTCTGAGCCCCTTCCTCTGCCTCATGGCCAGTGCCGACCTCCGGGCCCTGCTGCACGCGGTGTTCTCCTCCTTTGCAGCCGCTCTCTGCGAGGAACAGCCAGGCAGCTTCACGCCAGCTGAGCCCCAGCCCCAAGTGGGCTCTGAGGGCCCGACTCTGCCAGGGCCCATGGCTGCGGCCCAGCCACGACTGGATGCCGTGGCCCTGCCTCAGGTGAGCCCCACGGCCCAGACACGGTCGGATGCTGTGGCCCAGGAACAGCCAGTGGTTGAGGCTCATACCCCCGCCTCTGCTTCCAGCTTGGCCACCACCCGCTGTGATGAAGCCTCCCCTGGCCCATCCCCAGGGCCCACCTCGGGAGCCTCTGGGAACCCAGCCACACAGGCTGTCCCTGAGGGAGAGAGCCCTGGCAGTGCCCCGCCAGAGGAAGCCTCCAGCACAGGTCCCACGTGAGGGTCTAGGGAAATCCAGGCCCTCCAGGGCAGTGGAAGAGCCAGAGGGAGCCAGAGAACCAGCCATGGTGGACGCCATGAAGGACTCAACACTAAAAACTCCCTCCGAGTCCCTCGGGCCTAGAAGGAGGGGAAGTGAAACAAAGCATGTGAAAGTCCCAGAGAGTTCACTGTGAGTCCCCCACCCTGGGCACACCAAGCCCTTCCATGGTTGTTCCAACACATAGTCACCCAACAGCCCCCTAGGCCACAGCTAATGGTGTGCGAATTGTTCTGTCCTCCAATACCTCTAGACACCTGTTTCCCCTGTGCCTTGTTCCTGCTGGAGGAAGATAACAGGGGGACTTCCCTGGGTCCAATCAGATCTCCCTTTCATCCTTCACTCCCTGTCCTCCTCTGTCCTGTCCTCCAGCCTGGACACAAGGATACCAAATGGAAAAGTTCCTGCAGAAAAGGGAGGCCTCCATGAGCCTGTGGCTCCAAGCAGGGCCCAAGGCCTTAGTGGCCCACAAGCCAAGTCCTCTCTACCAATCTCCTGCCTGCCTCCAACAGACAGTGAGGCTGGTGCAGGATTTCCCCTCACAGGGCAGGCAGAGAAGAGGCAAGAGCTACCAAGCCTGGATTCAAATCCAGTTCTGCCACAGCCTGACTGGGTGATGGGGGACAAGTTACTTCTCTTTCTTAGCTCCTGTTTCATCAGCTCTTGTGAGAATTAAATGAGAAAGCGTGCAAGGCACTCACAGCAGCCTGGCATTCAGCAAGGGCTCGGTGAGCTGGTGTCCTCTTCCTTCCCGCATACAGGGACCGGGGCTGAATGGGAGGAGGCAGGCAGGAGAGTGACCTAGGATTCTGTGAACAGCCTAGGCTGCGGACACCCAAGTGGCCTGAGAGAGCACATAGCCACCTCTGCTCTTGGGCCTGCTCCAGGGGACTTCAAGGTCGGATTCTGTTCAAGGGTCCAACTAACATCCACCTGTGCCCCGACCCCCAGGGAGGGCTGCTCAGCTCTCCTCTCTGTGGGGGCTGCAGGTACAGCTCACTTTGGCCCCAAATTCCCCCCATCCGAGCCCAAGAGCAGAGGCAGGAGGCTGTCCAAAGGGCTCAGAGCTCAGGGCACCAGTAGTCCCAGGAATGGCAAAGGTGAGCCCTTGGGCCAGCCAGCTCCTCCCCTTCCACTGAGACCCCACAGGGAAAGCAAAAGTGCCATAGGTCTCCCTGCCCCCTCCCCTTCATCCCCCCCACCCTCTCCCACCCACCTGTTTCTCCCCACCCTCAGGGTTCCGAGTCCCCTCCCTTCCCTTCTTCCCCGACTCTGTCCCATTAGCAGGGCTTGTTGACTCGGCAGCTGAGGAGCCCTCAGGGAAAGGCACAGTGTTGATGACGTTTGATGTGCTGCCCTGGGAGTGGGGTTCCTAGCTCGCTCTTAGCCTTAGTTAGGGTGGATGAGCCCCTGCAGGGCTGCTGGTTGTGGCCATTAATGACCCCCTTGCACAGGAAGGCCATAAATGGGTGGCCATGGTGGCGACACCAGAGCATAATCATAGCACTCCTCAGTGATGGATTCCTGGTGCGTGCGGGGCTGGGGGATCTCCGAACAGGCGTGGATTTGTCGATTTCATTCTTCTGACAAATCTCTATTCTGCACTTTCCAGCTGCTTTTCTGGCCGGGCTTCTGTTCTGGAAACACGGGGGCAGGCTTCAGGGGGGTCCCTGGTACCCCTCAGGGGTTGTTTGAAGTCCTGGCTCCACCATTCTGCAGGGGTGACTTCCAGCAAAGCTCTTGGTCTCTTTTGGACTCAGTTTGCTCATCTACAAAATGGGGATCATAATGATTGATCTTTATGGAGTGCTTGGGTCATTGCCTGGCACAGAGTAAGTGCTCAATGATTGTTACCCATCAATATGATGATGCCAGTGGGCACCCCAGGCCTTAGCCAGCCTGAGAGCAGTGCTGAGCCATGGGCCAGGGCCCACCGGGCAGGTCACCGGGTACTGTCCTCCCATCCCACCCACTGCCTCTTCTTCCACAAGCCCTGCCCTTCTTCTGACTGTCACAGGGCACATCTGAGGGAGGTCTGGACTTCTGTCCCCTTGGAACATTCTGCTGTGCCCCTGCTTCTCTCTTTTCTCCTGGCAGGGGTTCCAAAGCCTTTTATTTCTTTTTCTTTGGGTACTGAGAGTTGACCCTGGAGGGCTTTATCCTGAGCTACATCCCCAGCCCTTTTTATTTTTTATTTTGAGACAAGGTTCCACTGAGTCACTAGGCTGGCCTGGAACTTTGGCATCTGAAATCTCCTGCCTTGCCCTCCCGAGTTGCTGGGATTTACCCATGTGCCAGCCACCTGCCTCAACACTAGTCCACATCTTAAACCCTATCTCTTGGGGAGGAAGCCAGCCTCACCTCCAAGGTCCCCAAGGGGAATTGTTCCCACAATGAATAATTGTTGTCCAGGGAAAAGAGCAGTGACCTGAAGGGTTTTGCAGGAAAAAGAGGAGTTTTCCTAGTGACCCACAGAGAAGGTCTGTGTTGGAGGAAAGAGGACATTAAGAGAGGGCTCGTTCACCCCCAAAACATTCTACATCCCCTCACCTCACCTCAATACACCCCATGGAGCCAGGTTCCTGTGGCCTTCTGGGAGATTCCTTCCTTTTGTAGGTGAGAGAGCCCCTCCCTCTCGTGCAAAGGGACCAGACATTGGTTGTGAGAATTGTGAACAAGAACATTTTTCAATTCTGCACTCAGGGCTGCTGCTCACTTATACATTAAGTGATCACATTCTGGGTGCTGGGCCTCACTGGGTGCTGAAAGTACAGTGGGAAACAAGACAAAACCCCTGCCCTCAATTTGCTGACATCCTGGTAGGGTGAAGCAACAAATACACAAATACTCCCAAAATATAGCATCCAGTAGCTATTAAGAACAATGAGTCAGGCGCACGCCTGTAATCCCAGTGACTCAGGAAGCTGAGGCAGGAGAATCACAAGTTTGAGGTCAGCCTCAGCAACTTAGCAAGGCACTATCTCAAAATAAAAAGAAGGGCTTGGGATATAGCTCAGTTGGTAGAGTGATTGCCTTGCATGTACAAGGCCCTGGGTTCAGTCCCCAGCACCACAAAAACATAAAAATAAATAAACAAAAATAAAAAGTACTGGGACTCTGGGACTGGGAGTGTGGCTCAGTGGTAAATCACCCCTGAGTTCAATCCCCATTACCCCCTCCCCCCCAAAAAAAAGGCAATGAGAACAAGTAGATCCAGAGATGGCCAGGTGAGAGGGGCAGCCGGGAGGGAACTGCAGGATGGGGGGAGTGACACCTTAGCAGAGACAGAGTCATTTCAAGACCTGGGGAAGAGCATGTAGAAGGAAGGAGAGAACAGGATGCACCATCAGGTACCAGCCAGGCCCTGAGGTTGGAGTGAAGGTGTACATTTCAGGAACTGGAGGTCAGCATCACTGGGTCACAAGCAGGGAGAGGCTATTGTGGGTGACAGGTGCTGAACAAGGGTCAGACAGGTGAGGCAGGGTGGGATGGGACATACAACTGGGATTGTATTTCACATGAGGGAGGTTTATAGAACTGGGGCCACACAGACTGGTGTGGGCTTTAGATAGACCCTGGCCTGTTGCCCCGGACACACCTCCTTGCTGCTTCCCAGTCCCCACTCCTGCAGGCCAGCCCTAGGGGTTGTGGAGCAGTGGGAAACACAGGGACTTGGTGCCAAACGGATGGAGGCTGACTCCTAGCGGGTGACCCAAGCCAGCGCGTGGCCTCTCTAGGCCTGTTTCCTCAAGGGGCATGGCAAGGGGAATGAGATGGAGGTTGAGCGCAGCCCACACAGGGCTCTTCATCCCGCCAGAGATAAGCCGCCCTTACACGGGTTCTTCTGCGTTTTCCCTCTCCCTTTTCTTTTCCTGGGAAAGAGACTCTGCCAGCACCCTTTAGTCATCCAGGCTGGTGGATTCTCAAGGAAGGGTGAGGAAGTAACTAGTGCTCAGGGTCACAGACCTGATAGAGAGAGACCTGGCAACCACTGCCTGTGGGACCTACCGGGACACCTAAGTCCCCCAGGGTGAGACAGGATTGGGTGGATCTAGGAGGGAGGCCTGTGGACTGGTGGCCAGGCCTCCAGGGAGGTGGTGGAGGAAAGAAAGGAAAGTGCCAGGGATCTTCAGGCCATGGCCTCATTTTGATTTTTAGTAAGAAGCTCTGGCAGCTCAACGACTTGGGAGGAGCTCAAGTTTGAGGGCAGCAAGACTCGGTCTCAAAATAAAATAAAAAGTGCTTGGGGTGGAGCTTAGGAGTAGAGCACTTGCCTACCATGTTTGGGGCCCTGGGTTCTATCCCCAGCACTGGAAGAAAAAAAAGAAGCAGCCGCTGCAAGACCCACGAGTGTCCACCGGGAAGAATGGGACCGCTGGGCCACCCCTGCCTGGCTCCTTCGAGTGTTGCTTTATCTACACCTTGAGCCGAGAGCACTAATGCTTACAACTTAAAAACAGGCAGCAAAACTACCCGCAGACACTGTTTGGAGGCGGGGCGGGGGCGGTCCTGGGACGCCTAGGAGGCGTGGCCCCAGGTGCGGGATCCTGACCCGGGCTTCAGCCCATCCTGGCGACTCCCGCGGACGCACCTGCAGCGCGCTCGGCCCGCCGCAGCCCGACCGCGGCCGGCCGCTCGCCCGGGGGCTGCAGGTGCGGCTCGTGAGCTCCGCCCTCCCGGCCCCGCCCCCTCAACTCTCCCCGCCCCTCCGCGCGTGACCTCGGCCCCGCCCCCGCGAGCCCCCGCCCCGCTCCCTCCCACTCCTCTGTCACTTCCTGATTCCCGCTTCCTGCTTCCCGGAGGCTGGGATCCCGAGCTGCCCGAGGCCGCCGCCGCAGCCCCCGGCGTCCCCGGTCAGCGGTGAGCGGTGAGCGGTGAGCGCGGCGGGGCCGGGCTGGGGGCGCGGCCGGGGCGGGGGCGCGAGGCCCAGGGGCCCTTCCCCTCCGCGGCGCCCCACCCGCGGTCCCAACTCCCCCGGCCGCGCAGCCTCTGCCCTCCTGAGCCCGGGTCACTGGAAGTGGGTCCCCGGAACCGCGCTCCGAGATGTCCCTCCGCCCGCAGCGCGGCCGTGACCCCCGCCGGTCCTGCCAGGGCCGTGGGCCGGGCTAACTGCAGCTCCCTGCACATTCCTTGGTTCTCAGAACTGGGCCTCCCTCCGCCCCACAGTGTGGAGACCTTTCCTGCCTCCTCTCCTCCCTTCCCGACACCCAGCCTCCACGTCCCCGGGCCGGAAGGTCTGTTCCGAACCGGGCGGACCTACAGAAATACTAAGTTTTCCCGTTTCCGCACCACCCCACCCCCAACACACACACACCGCAGCCACGGAGGGTCCCAAGGAGATTTCTCAAAGCCCCTTAGGACGCAGCAGTGGCCAGCACCAGGGGTCGTCTTACTTACCCTGTCAGATCACCGCCTGGGGAGCCTGCCAGAGTCCCATTCTGCAACTGGGGAAACTGAGATCCAGGCGGGTCATGTTGCCTAGGCCCCCAGCCATATCCTTCCGTGTTCCCTTCAAGCACCGGTGGGAAAGCTCAGGGTCGTGAGGACGGGGCTGATCCAGGCCTCTCTGCGCTGCAGACATGTCCTTTCGCAAAGTGGTTCGGCAGAGCAAATTCCGGCATGTGTTTGGCCAACCGGTCAAGAATGACCAATGCTACGAGGACATCCGCGTGTCCCGTGTTACCTGGGACAGCACCTTCTGCGCAGTCAACCCTAAGTTCCTGGCAGTAATTGTGGAAGCCAGTGGTGGGGGTGCCTTCCTGGTGCTTCCCCTGAACAAGGTGGGCCTTGTTGGGACAGGGGGGCAGGCTGTGGGGAGGGCCAGAAGCACAGCACCACTCCTGGCAGCAGGTCCTACTTTGAAGCCCCCTCCTTGCCCGTCCTCTCACTAGGCAGGTGTCAATCCAGATTTACTGCCCAAGAGGTGTTTGTGCAGGTGGAATCAGTGTTTATTGCCACTGAGTCAGGGTCAAAGGCAGCAGGCACTTCCTGCTCAGCTAGTGGGTGGGGCACCTTCACATCTAGGCCCCCAGTGAGCCCCATCTGACTTGCCCCCTCCTGCCTGCAGACAGGCCGCATTGACAAGGCCTACCCAACAGTGTGTGGGCACACAGGACCTGTCCTGGACATCGACTGGTGTCCCCACAATGATGAAGTCATTGCCAGCGGCTCAGAGGATTGTACAGTCATGGTGAGGCACAGGACTGTTCGGGCCAAGGTCTCCAGTGTGGCCCAGGGCTGCTGGCAGCAGGGGTAAGCAGAGGCCTCAGCCCAGCAGCCCCATCTCTACCACAGGTGTGGCAGATCCCGGAGAATGGGCTGGCCTCCCCGCTGACAGAGCCAGTGGTGGTGCTAGAAGGGCACACCAAGCGTGTGGGCATCGTGACCTGGCACCCCACAGCCCGGAACGTGCTGCTCAGTGCAGGTCTGCACCGCACCCTACCCTGCCCCCACACCCCTCTCCATATGTGGCTCTGGGACATCCTAGTGGTCTCTCCTGGGCCCATCTGACAGATGAGGAAGCTGAGCCGTGCAGAGGTCAAGAGGCCCAGTTCAGTCCCAGGGGAGTGGGCAAAGCTGACCTGTTGGGCTGATGGCCTTCCATCCACCAGGCTGTGATAATGTGGTGCTCATCTGGAATGTGGGCACAGCGGAGGAGCTGTACCGCTTGGACACCCTGCACCCTGACCTCATCTACAATGTCAGCTGGAACCGCAATGGCAGCCTTTTCTGCTCAGCTTGCAAGGACAAGAGTGTCCGCATCATTGACCCCCGCCGGGGCACCCTGGTGGCAGTATGTGGCTTTGGGGGCTGAGGACAGTGGACAGGCCAAGGGACTTGATCTGTGCACTACACTAACCACCTGACTCTCACACAGGAGCGGGAGAAAGCCCATGAGGGGGCCCGGCCCATGCGGGCCATCTTCTTGGCAGATGGCAAGGTGTTCACTACGGGCTTCAGCCGCATGAGTGAGCGGCAGCTGGCACTCTGGGACCCAGTGAGTGGCCATGGTTGGCCTGAGGAGGCAGGCTCAAGACGGGCCCCAACCTGGCTCCATCCTGGGCAGGGGTCACCATGCAGAGGCTTGTGGTTCACAGGTCCTCAGCTTGGCCCTGCAGGGCCCTGTCCCACACCTGTTGGCTTCTGCACAGTGACCTCAGTGGCCCCTGTGAGCCAGGGACTGTGCTATGCAGCCCCTTCAAGCTCCCTGTAGTGAGGACCTTCTCAGTACTTGCTCAGTGACCTGGAGTAGTGTTGAGGCCTGCAGGAGGCTGGGAGGGTGGGCCCCTGGGGTGGAGAGAAGCCAGGGGTCTGCTGGGGTCCCTGGTATGGACAAAAGCTTGGAGGGGGAAAGAACCCACTGGCATGCTGGGGCAGTGCTGGCTGGCATGTGAGCCCATCTGTGGCCACTCCTGGTGGGCATTTCCAATTTTGGCCTCACTGCCTCCCATGCAGGAGAACCTCGAGGAGCCCATGGCCCTGCAGGAACTAGACTCCAGCAACGGGGCCCTGCTGCCCTTCTACGACCCCGACACCAGTGTGGTCTACGTCTGTGGCAAGGTGGGGCTGGGTATGGCTGGTGGGGGCAGGGGAGGTGCACAGCCAAGAGCTGAACCCCCCGTTGCCCCCCCAGGGCGACTCCAGCATCCGGTACTTTGAGATCACAGACGAGTCCCCCTATATCCACTTCCTGAACACGTTCACCAGCAAGGAGCCCCAGAGGGGCATGGGCAGTATGCCCAAGAGGGGCTTGGAGGTCAGCAAGTGTGAGATTGCCCGGTAAGAGGGGCCATTGTGGCAGCCATCTTAGGGACTCAGCCTGAGAGCAGAGGCCAGGCTGTGGGCACCCAGTGTCAGGTCAGTTGGGAGGCTCAGGGATCAGCCTGTGGCAATTGTTGGGGCAGGTAGGCAGCCTGCACAAGGGGTGTCGGGGACTTGGGTCAGCCTGTGGGAGGGTCCGAGTGAGGACAGGAAACGGAGGGTGGATAGATCTGGGGGAACTAATGGGGGTTCCACCCATGGCCGCTCCCCTACCCTCCCTTTCCCAGGTTCTACAAACTGCATGAGCGCAAGTGTGAGCCCATTGTCATGACTGTGCCAAGAAAGGTGACGCCACCTGCTCCCTCCTCTAGCAGACGGGCCATTGAGGGTGTTTGGAGTGGGGCCTGTGATTGGGTGTGGTTGGTGGGCTGCACAAATGCCCATATGCCCTGGTACCAGCCAGGGGTTGGGCTGTGCCTGGCAGGGGACAAGCAGGAATGACACAGGGCAAGCTGAGGCCTTGCCCAGATGAGCCACAGAGAGGGGTCAGGCAGTCAGGGCAGAGCAGCAGCCATGGAAGGCCTCCTGTAGGAGGGTGGAGAGAGGGTCTGGCTGCCGGGGAGAGTCCCACGAGGAGGAACCACAGGCTGGCTTCAGAGGGCCAGCCCCGGACACACTGCCACCATTCTCCAGCCAGCGTCCACTGAGTGCCCGACGCATTGTGCCAGGCGCGCCTCAGAGCAGAGCTGAGGGAGAGCGGTAGGGCCTGCCCCAGGAGCTCACAGTCCACGGGGCACAAGTGTGTCCCCCAGAATCCTACAAAGCCACCTCACTAGCCCCTGTGGTTTCAGGGGAGGGTGGTGGCAGGGCCCTGCTCAGGAAGGAAGGCTGGGAAGGCTTTGGGGGAACTGCTGCACCAGCAGGAGGGAAGTGAAAGCGGGCCTTGGGCTGAGAAGGGCGCGCGGGGCCAGGCCAGGAGGGGAAAGGTCGAGAGTGCCAGGATGGCGCCCAGGAGGGCCTGAGGCAGCAGCCACGCAGGGTCACTGATGGGCTCCAGCTGACCCTGGCCTCCCTGCTGCAGTCTGACCTCTTCCAGGATGATCTGTACCCCGACACAGCTGGGCCTGAAGCCGCTCTGGAGGCGGAGGAGTGGGTGAGCGGGCGGGATGCAGACCCCATCCTCATCTCACTGCGGGAGGCCTACGTGCCCAGCAAACAGCGGGACCTGAAGGTCAGCCGGCGCAACGTGTTATCGGACAGCCGGCTCGCCAGCTCCACCCGCCCAGGGTCCTCCATATCTGCTGTTGCCATTGCTGATGCCACTTCTGGTGGCAGCCTTGTTGGGGCTGGGGTATGTGTCCCCCAGTCAGGTGGTGCTGGGAAAGTTCCAATGTTGCCCCTGTCTGCTGTGTGTCCTTGAACCGTACATTGCCCTCTCTGGGCCTCGGGCCTCTGCCTGGTTGGTGGTAGGTTTGGGGAAGGCTGCAGTAAATGGACTTCTGATGTCCTCACAGGAGGCCGGGAAGCTAGAGGAGGTGATGCAGGAGCTGCGGGCACTGCGGGCCATGGTCAAGGAGCAAGGGGAGCGCATCTGCCGCCTGGAGGAGCAGCTGGGCCGCATGGAGAATGGGGACGCATAGGACCACACCAGCGATGCCACTCCCCCACCCCGTCCCCTCCTCCTCCTTCACCCCTTTTCACTCAGCTTCTGCTGGCAGGTCATAGCAGGTCACTGGCTGCCAAGGGACTCTGGGGCAGGTCAGGGGCCAGCTCCCATCCCGACCACTGCCTGGCTATTGTCATTGTTCCTGTGGAGGGTTTTTGTACCAAGGCAAGCTCGCTTGTCCTCTGAGGGACCATCTGCCCCACCCGCTCACTCCCCTCTGCCTCCCAAAGGAAGTGGCAGGGATGGGCTCTATATTTTCATTCCAAATAAATTTCTTTCTAAAAGCCCGGTGGCATGCTGAACCGGGGGGCTGAGAGGGTCTGGAATGTGGGGACAGATGAGGCAGAGAAGTCAGAGATCTGAGAAAGTCGAGGGTTGTGAGCAGCCAATGTCATCCTCAGGCCGAGAGGCAGAGACGCTGAGCCAGACCAGACCCATCCGCAGCCGCATCCTGCTTTGAGCTGGTGCCTGGTGCATCCTCTGGGAGGCCTGGTCACAGCCCCCTAGTCCCAGCTTCACCCAGAAAAGCCAGTGAGGATCTGGTGTTGGGCAGGGTGGTCCTGAGAGGTGGAGGCCCCACCAGGGTCCTGTGGCAGGCAAGAGTGGGTGGGTACTGTGGACAGGAAGCGGAAGTGTCGGGTAACCCCCAGCTGCACTAGAGCTCTGGGGCTCATTTCTCACTCAACGTAGCCAGAGCCGGAGGTGGGCACCCAGCGTGAGGCCAGCGGACCAATGGTGAGCACTGCCACTGGGTTCTTGGGGCAGGAGCATAGGAGACTGGGGCTAGAACTTCGGGCCCCAAGAGCTAAGAAGGACCCACCACCATTGGGACCCAGGGATAGAGGCATGACTCGGAACCAGCACGGGCAGAAGCTGGGCCTCACCTCTGAGCTGGGCTTGGCTTCCTAGGGCTCGGCCCAGGTGCTGTTACCTCACTCCAGGCCCCGCCCCTTCGAGATCCCTGGGATAGAGCTCCACTGGTCCTCCCAAGCTGCGCCTATCCCTGGAGCCTAGGGCGCTAAAGACTTGCACACTCCCCTCCCCCTGCCATCACTCCCCACCTGCTTTGTTCCAACCGCAGGCTTCCTCTGTCAGTGCACCCGCCACCCCCAGCCCTGCACGCCTGAGAGCCTCAGGGACAGGCCACATTGCTGAGCGGAAACCTTGCAGCTGGGGCACCCCTGTGGTTGGGAGGAAGAGGGGCCTCAAGGACCTCCATCCTGGGACCCAGTAAACAGAGGGGAGGTGGTTACCTCTGGGTTGGTCCAGCCCTTCCATCCCCACCTGCAGAAAATCCAGCCCTGATAGCAGCCTCGCAGGCCCCCTACCCCCAAGCAGAGTTTTGCCAGACTCAGTCAAGATTTATTGAGCACCTACTATGGACCAGGTGTTGTTTATAGGTGGTTGGTCATCAAAATGCCATCTCCCTGAAGCTTACTCTGCTGGGGGAGGTGAGCCAACAGAAAAGATGAGTAGAAGTACTTCCTGTGTAAGATGTGGCGGGAGAAAGAGTGGTTTGGGGGCATCAAGAATGCTGGTGGGGGGCTGGGGATATGGCTCAGTTGGTAGAGTGCTTGCCTCATATGCACAAGGCCCTGGTTTTGATCCCCAACACCAGAAAAAAAAGAAAGAAAAAAGAAAAAGTGTGCTAGGGAGTGATGTACTAATGACCAGCTGGTTGTAATCCAGGTCAGACCAGGAGTCCTCTCAGCGAGGCCTAAGCCAGGAGCACGGGCAGCCATGTGGCTTTTTGGAGTGGAGCATTCTGGGCAGAGGGAAGAGGCAGTGTGGAGGCCCAGGCAAGAGCAGGCCAGGGTGGTTGGGAGTAAGACCAGTGGTGCCTAGGGGCAGGGGCGCATGACAGTGGCCAGGGCCATGACCAAATAAGGACTTGGGCTTTTCTGCTTGACTGTCCCCATTTTGCCTGAGAGGCAACTGTGGACCTTCTTGGAAAGGAACAGAAAGCAGATTTGGCCACCCCGCCTGGTGCCACCCTGGTGATGAGCCCCCCCACCTGTCTCCTGCAGGCTCTGCTCTGTGCCCTTGGTCTTGGCACACTGCTGGCCTTGCCAGGGGCCCTGGGTTCGGGCGATGCGAAGGACAGCGTGGGCTCCAGCTCTGTCACCGTAGTGCTGCTGCTACTGCTGCTGCTGCTGCTAGTCACTGCCCTGGCCCTGGCCTGGCGCCGCCTCAGTCGCGACTCTGGGGGCTACTACCACCCAGCCCGCCTAGGCGCTGCACTGTGGGGTCGCACCCGCCGCCTCCTCTGGGCCAGCCCCCCAGGTCGCTGGCTGCAGGCCCGCACTGAGCTGGGGCCACTAGATGACCCAGAGCAGCAGGAAGAGGAGCAGGATGTAGAAGATGAGGACATCACGGATGGTGGCCCAGAGAAGGCTGGACCCCAGGAAGAGGGGCAGCGGTGCAGAACAGGACCCCACCAGGAGCAGGCTGAGGAAGCACAGGACAGCGATGTGGAAGGGGGCCTGGGTCTTGGCTCCCAGGGGCCAGTGGGCTCAGGGGGCAGTGCAGAGGCCCTGCTGAGTGACCTACACGCCTTCTCAGGCAGCGCAGCCTGGGACGACAGCGCCGGGGCCTCAGGGGGACAGGGCCTCCATGTTACAGCTCTATAGAGGCGAGCCTCAGAGTCCGGTCCCTGCTACAGCCTCTCTGCTTCCCAAGTGCCACAGTGGAACACAGCCTGCCCTGGACTTGCTGTCACTCCCCCCACCTCATGGAGTACCTTGGACCGTCATCCCCACCAATTCCCAGGCCTGTGCAGCCCCACCCCCTCCAAAGGCCACCCACCCCATGGGCATTGTTTGAAATAAAACCTCTTCACCCTGTGGTTCTGTGGTCCTATAGTGTCCCCTTCTCTCTCTAAGCAGGGGCTCCTGGCACAAACCCACCCACCCCGAGAGTCCAGCAGAAGCCAATCAGTGCCATGATTCAGTCCTTTAATTTGCAAGGGCACAACTGAACGTGGTGGCCCCCAGGTGGCCAGTGGGGCCCTCCTGCCAGCAGTGGTAGCCTGAGGCTTCGAGACACATGATTCTGGGGCTCACCCACCCCTGACAGAGGCACCTGCTCCCCGCAGACACAGCCAGTCCAGCCTGCAGAGAAGGCCTCAGTGCTGCCAGTGCCCCACCCCCTTCCTACCGCCCGGGGCGCGCACGGCCCCTCTTAGACTTCTTGGTCCCTGAGGGGGGACGGATGGGGAGGGGAGCAGTGCTCGAGATCGGTGGTGGCGGCGGCGGCGGCAGCAGTGGAGGTAGAGGTGGCTCCATGGGCTCTGGTGGGCCAGGGGTGGGCCGGAACCCCTCAAAGGGGGAGAACTTGAGGGGGCTGCAATGGAGACCAAGGCACAGTCAGGGCCTCCCAGGCCCTGCCAGGGGTGCTGCACCGGGTCAGGGAGGGCAGGTTCTACACCGCCTGGGCACACAGGCTGTGCTCCACCAACTGCCATCCAGGCAGCCCCTGCCACCAGTGTGCAGGGACTGAGTTCCCATGGGAGGCAGAAACTGAGGCTGGCCCTGGCTAAGAGCCTTGGCCAAAGCAGCCCAAAACTAGCTAGCCTCTTGTCTGCCGGGGCTCCCTGTCCCAGCCACACACTTCCCGCTGCCTTGGTACCTGATGGGGGTTCGCGGGCTGCTGTTGAGGCGCCTGGGGGAGCGCAGCTTGGGCTGAAAGGAGAAGCCCTCTTTGATGCTGTCCAGGACTGAGGGTGCCACGTATGTGAAACCCTGGGGGAGAGGCGAGGCCGGCAGCGCGTGGCATCATTACTCCTCAGCCACAATCCCGGTCTGGGTGCCCACGACCTCCAGACCCCCAGCACTCACCAGGAAGGCCTGGTTGGCGCTTTCACTCAACGTTGTGTCATCAGGACTATCCACTGGTGTCTGCCGTGTGAAGCGCGTGTCAAACTGGCTCACGTCCTCCTCTGACTGCTGTGGACAGATCCACGTGGGGAGGGTCAGGGGGGAGTCCAAGGGGCATCCTCTGCCTGTCACAGGGCCAACATGACCTGCACTCACCAGACTTGGCCTGATAGGAGGGTCCACACGGCGAGCCAAGAGGTCATCCCAATTGATGTGCCGGAAGAAGGGGTGCCTCTGGGGTAGAAAGCACCGAGATGGGCCAGCAGCTCCTCAGTAACTCCCTCTGTGTCTCGCTCTGGCCCCAGACTCACCTGCACATCAGCAGCATCCCCTGGGCCACCCCCAATCCGTTGGCTGGGATTCCGCTTCAGAAACTGTGGGACCAGGGCAGCAGGTGAGGGCCTGGGGAGGCACTGCTGTGTGTGCACCTAGCTCTTGGGGGCCTACTTGTGGTGAGGGAAGGTGAGGCAGGGCAGGGGGTGCTTCTGGAATGTGGCTGCACCTATTGAGCCCCTCACGACTTTCAGGATTGGGTCCCACGGTACCTTCTGCACCAAGTCTTTGCAAGGCCTCCCACGCTGCTGGCATCACCCGGGCAGACTGTGAGGATCTGATATTAAAACCTGATGGAGCTGAGCCCTCCCCCTCTGCACCCCAGCCACCAGCCTTTCTGGGGGAAAGAGCAGCCAGCTCATAGGGCACCCTTGTCTGATGAGGGCTGAGCCGCAGCTTACTGCTTACTGAGGCAGCAGTCTGTTGGAGCTGAGGCCTGGCCCAAGTGAGCACTCCTTTCCCTCCCAGAGGGACTACACAGGCTCCCCCATAGCCCAGGACATGTATACAAAGGCTAACAGGGCCTGAGAGAAGAGATGGGGGGGCCTGACCCTGGGCAGGAGGGAGCCCACCTTTTTGATAAGGTCCCTGGCATCTGGGGTGAGGTAGGGAGGCAGCACCAGCTTCCCCTTGATTATTTTATCCATGGTTTTCTTCCGGTTCTCTGCGGTGAAGGGTGGCTGGGGGAGGCAGAAGGTGAGGGGCGCCTGTGGGCCTCCCCAGGACCTTCCCCAGCCCCAGAGGGGAACCCTGCCCCCCACCCTCCTCCCGAGGAGGCTGGACTTGCCGATCCAGTGAGCATGTCGTACATCAGGGCCCCCAGGCTCCACCAGTCCACCACCCGGTTGTGGCCACTGCGCACCAGGATCTCAGGGGCCCTGGGGGCCAGGTGGAACTGTCAGTCAGGCCAGGCCCTCTCTGGCTGTCCTCCTGACCCCTAGGCCAGTCAGGCACCACTTACATGTACTCAATGGTGCCACAGAAGGTGTGAGTGACGGCACCCTCGTGAATTGACTCCTTGCAGAGTCCGAAATCCGTCAGTTTGATGTGGCCTGTGGAAGAATGTTGCGAGGGGTGGTCAGACCTGCCCCATCAGCAGCCTCTCAGCCTGCCCCGCAGACCCCGTGTATGCAGCTGCAAGTGTGTGCATGCACAAGTACACACCCTGGCTGTTGAGCATGATGTTCTCAGGCTTGAGGTCCCTATAGATGATGCCTTGGGAGTGGAGATGGCCCAGGGCCAGTGTGATCTCAGCCAGGTAGAAGCTGCAAGGACAGGATAGAGTGAGAGTGGTGTGGGGAAAGGGCTAGGATCTCTGGGGGAGGGGCAGGTTTCACACCCACCAGGCAGTGTCCTCCAAGAAGATGCCCTCTCGTTCCAGATGTGTGAAGAGCTCACCACCTGTGACACAATCACATCAGCAGTCCTGCTCCAGAACCCAGCCCCAATGCTCCCTCTGAGTCTTGGGTTCTTCTTGGGAGAAGTGGGGCTTGCAAATCCTGCCCTACCTGCCTCCCAGAGCTGCCGTGGGGACTCAATCAATTCAGCAAACATCTACCGACGCCTATTCGGTGCCTGGCCCTGTGCTGGGGGCAGAGATGAGGAGACCCAGCCATTGCCCTCAGGACGCTCAGTCTAGTGGGGAGACAGACACGTGCACACTGCTCTAGAATGCCAGGCTGAGGCAACAGCTCCAAGAGCTTTGCCAAAGAACCTTACAGTGCAGATATGGAAGATTAAGATAATCCCAATACCAGAAACAGAACGTGCAGTGTGGCTGGGCTGCTCAGGGTGCTAAGATGGAGGAACAGAGCAGGATGTGCAGGCAGAGGCCCACGGAGCTCAGCCGATACAGGACTGCTGTGCGGTGAGGGGGAGTGGACAAGGAGGCCAGGCTTTGTGTGGGAAGCTAGAGACTCACGGGATTCTGAGGGGAAGGGTTAGAAGCAATCACACTCTAGAAAAATGACTCTGGCAGTTAGCAGAGGAAACACCAAAAAGCAGGTGAGCCAGGGCCTCAAGCTCAGTTAAGAAACAACTATGATCCCCACCTGAACCTGAGAGAGAAGAGGGGATGGGGCACACCAAAGAGGATGCAGCTAGATGGGACCCTAACTGGATGTAGGGCACACAGGGGGGAGGACAGGACAGAAGGGATGGCAGAAGTGGGTAAAATCACCCCCTGGATTTCTATACAAACAGCTGAGGGACACACCAGGCCCTAGTCAGACGTTTGCTGAATGAATGAAGGGATACGTGGACAAGTGGACAGATGTATGGGTGATGGGTGTGGGGGTCCCCTAGATGTCCTCCACAACCACACCTCTCAGGACTTCCTGAAACCCCAGTGCTTCTGTGCTGGTCCCCACCCCACCAGGGCCTGGCTGAGCCTGCACACCTACCACTGAGGCACTCCAGGATGAGGTAGAGCTTGCCACCCGTCTGGAAGGCATAGGCCAGTTCCACAATAAAGGGGTGCTTCACTGACTCTAGAATGTTCCGCTCAGCCTGTGTGTGTGCAGTATCCTTGGCATTGCGCACAATTTTGGCCTAGAGATGCAGAGATTGGTTAGAAGGTGGGGCACCCAGAACTCCTTCCATTCCTCAAGCTAAGCTCTTCCTTTTGTCCCATGTTCTGTTTTATTATTTTCCAGTAGAATGGCCCAACAGAACACAACTGCAAATGCTAGGCTGTGCAAAAGAGGAGCTAGTGCCTTTGTGCAAATGGGAGATAGTATTCTTTTGTTTTCTCTCTTTTTTAAATATTTTTCTTTAGTTTTTAATGGACCTTTATTATTTATTTATTTATTTATATGCGGTGCTGAGAATCAAATCCAGTACCTCACACATGCTAGGGAAGTACTCTACCACTGAGCCACAACCCCAGCCCAATTATTTTGTTTTCAATAAATATTTAAATACAACTGGGGGCTGGGGATGTGGCTCAAGCGGTAGCGTGCTCGCCTGGCATGCGTACGGCCCGGGTTCGATCCTCAGCACCACATACAAAGATGTTATGTCCGCCAATAACTAAAAAATAAATATTAAAAATTCTCTCTCTCTCTTTATAAAAATAAATAAATAAATAAATAAATACAACTGGGTCCTAAAAGTGTACGGACTCTAGGTCTGACTGTGGACCCACAGTGACATCATCGTCCCCTGCCCTATAATCATTACATGAAACTGGGGTACCAATGGTCAAACCTGATCACAGTGAGTCTTTTCTAGAGCTTTCCCCAACCCTCTATACAGGATCTGGCTAGGACAAAGACAACTGGAATTTCTTGAAGGTCGCTAGGCTGTAACATTAAGTATTCTTGGTGTCCAGTCATTACCCTCTACCATCTTCTGTCATTCCATTGACTCTCTCCATGATTCTGCTATCAATAGTCATCCTTTTCAGGAACTGTTTTATCCTCAGTAAAGAGTTTCTCAACCTCAATGCTATTGATACCTTGGACCAGACAATTCTTTGTTGTGGGATTTTGTCCTGTGCCCTGTGTCCAGCAGCAATCTATGCAAGCAAGCAGCATGCCACTGGATGCTCACAGCACTCTTCTCTCCAGTTCTTGACAATAAAAATTCTGCCTAAAATTGTCAAATACCCCCTGGGCAGCAAACTGCCCCCGTTTGGGAATCACCACAAAACAATACACATCACAATAGATAATAAACTAGCAAATGCCAAACACAGGGCCCAACTCCTCCATGGTGTTCAGAACTGCTGTCTTCCCAAAACCTGGCAGAGTACCCTGGGATGGCAGTCACTCAATATTTGCTGGCTGAGTGAATGACTCACCTTCCTCAGGACTTTCATGGCATATATTTTGCCCAAGTTGGTGCCTTGCACTTTTCGTACCTGGAACACCTGTAGGGCAGGGGAGACAGGATCAACTTCCCTCTCCACACCCTATCTTCAAGAAGCCCCACCCTCAAGCTCTGGAAGTGGGACCAAGAGGCCTTCAGTCACCCAAGGGTGGGGCAGTAAAGATCTCATCTGATTCTGGAGGGCTTGCCCTATTCTCCTTTATGGAATCCCATCAGAGGCTCTGCCGATTTGCAAGTCTAATCTATGCTGAAAAGCCTGTGCTGACAAGATGAGGGCACTGTACCTTGCCATAGCCCCCCTTGCCCAGGACTCGCAGCAGTTCAAAGCAGTGAGGCCCAATGCGCTCAGGGCCCAGGTTCACACTGGTCTCGGTCAGCTCCACCTCCTCATAGTGTCCCACGGGCCTACGAACACAAGAAGTTAAGGGGAGCAAGGCCCAGTGCTCCCCAGGTCCCCTTCCCTACTCCATTCCCCATCCCCAAGAGACCCTCACTCACTCCAGGCCGGCAGCCCTCGATTCGGTAAGGGGACACACGTCCTGTGAGAAACTGAGAGGTAAGACCAAGAGAGGTGCCGGGATACCTCCTGCCACCCCAAGCTGGGCTGCTTGGCCCAGGGAAGGAGGGCGCCAGGGATGGAGAGGGCAGGGGCCGGGCAAGGGCTGGGGAGCAGAGGATGAAAGGCCGGGAGCCGGGAACGAGGTCTGGGAGGGCGTGGGTCCGAGCGTGAGGAGGACCGGCGTTTGAAGGGGTCGCAGCCTACTCTGGGGCGGCGACAGCCACGGCTCAGGTCTCGGCCAGGTGACAAGCTCGGCTCCAACCCAGTCGTGACCAGGCGAAACACTCACCGCAGGACTGAACTCTGGCTCGCCCTCGCCCTCGCTGCCTTCCTCGGTCTCCAAGTCCAGATCGAACACGGCCGCCATGGCCGCGCCGGCCCGGCGGGCCCCTCCACGGGGATCTGGCGGCTCTGACTGACAGCCCGAGTCCCGAGCATGTACGTTATCACTCAGCGACCGCCACCGCGACCGCGCGCGGGGATGACGAAAAGTAACCCCGCCCTCTCTCGCGCAGGCCGCTCAGCCTGACGGGGAGGAAAGACGGCGTCTGCCTCAAGGCCTCTCGGGAGTTGTAGTCCGCGAGTGCCGCACCAGCCCCTCCTGTCAGCAGGACTCTGTGTTCCCAGCAGTTTCCCGCGGTCTGCACCAGGCAGAAGAGGCCTGGAGGCGCCCATTTGGGCTCTGGGGAGAGTTTGAATTTGGTGGGGAGAGTTTGAGTTTGGTTGCGTAGAGTCAAAAGTGCACTCAGGTGTAGGACTGTAAAGTGCAACTTCAAATCTGCTGGAACTGTGCTCTGCCAAGCTGGCTGCCAAGTGAGAGGCAAATCGCGTCCTTCTCTTTTCGCTCCTGAGTAACTGTAGGACCTTCTTAATCAACCTCCGCATCGAGGTCCTACAAGTCATACATTTACTGGTTGTGCTGTCCAATGCTGGGCTCCGTTACCAGACTCCTGCCCTAAAGAATTCAGAGCTCTTCAATATGAACTTTTACTAATTTAAACACATTTAGTAATTTGGCTGCCTGATACAGAAAGGGAACTTAATAGAACTTGGTTGAAAGGAATGAATTAACACATTAAAATGGGCATGGATTCATTTTGGATGGGCTCTGTAGAGGGTGAATTTGGACCAGACCAGGCCTGGGTGTGAGATCTGACTATTGGGAACCATGGCTTCCAGTTGCACAACTTGGGGGTCTCCGGGCTGGCCGAGGTTTATTTGGTTGGATGCGGCCTCTGGTTGTAATCCCACCAAAGGAAATCCTTAGATTGGGCCCTGATGTAGGTGTATGTAGGGCAGGCCTCTGCCAAAGATCAGCCCAGAGGCCTGGCCAGTAGGATGGATTTTCCTTAGCTCAAGATGCTACAGAATTCCCCACCCACTTCTCCCTCCCCTTCCTCTGCTTGCCAAGCCTGGGGGAGTTGTCCAGTTGAGATAACCTATTCCAGACTCCAAACATGCCACTAGTCCATAAACATTTATTTGGGGAAAGAATGCTTGCAGAGTTGTCCACAGCTTCTGTGCAGGACAGAGGCAGGAGCCTTAAAGCAGTCTCCTTGAATGAGGAAGGGAGTGTAGATACCCTCTGCCTGTGCTAGTTAAGTGTGCCAGAGGCCAAAGCACTTGGTGGAGAAGGTGTATGGTGCATGGGAAGGTACAGGGTATTCAGGAGTCTCAGAGCTGCTTATGAATGAGGGCAGAGAGGTGGGAGGCCTGGAAGCGGATGGGCACATAGAATTGGTAAACACAGAAACCTGGCCATTGCACTGTATTAATATGCACTGTGCTATGACCTTGGCGACAGTCATTTTTCTTCTCTGGGCCCATTTTCTCATCTGTAGAATGGGAATAGTATCTACCTGGAAGTGTGAGAAGAGGTAGCCTGGCTACCTGCTTCTATTGCTCAGGTCAGTTGAGACAGGGGCACTGCCAGAAGTTTTCAATAGGCTCCATAACTCATGTAATTCGGAAAAGAGAAAAACAGGGGCTTTAATCGCAAATTGTCCTGGCATTTGTCCACGTCCAGGGATCCAGCCAGGTTCTCTCCTCCTAGATAGAGAAATATCTGGAGGGGTGGAGAGGAGGGCCTGGGTCAGGGCTCACTCCAATCTAGGATAGTTGGTAGCAGCGTGTGTGTGTGTGTGGCGGGGGGTGAGTGTGTGTGCATGTGTGTGTGGGGGGTGTGTATATGTGCTATTATTTCTCCAGGGCTAGTGTCTTGGAGCAGATGTGGGCTGGACTGAGGCCTTCATGAGGGCAAGAGGCCCCACCCCTACCCTCCAGATGCTTATTTTATGGTCTTTAAGCCTAGAAGACTCAATGGCTCTGCCATTCTGTGACAGACCTGAGGCAAGGGGAGTGGACCACACTGGGGGTTGGGCAGGGCAATAGGGAGAGAGGCAGGGCAATCACCAGGGAGTGGAGGGCATCATTGCCCCTGCCCCCTGCATTTCATTCCTTCCCCCTAGCCCCAATGCTATTTGAAGTGAGACAGGAAGTGGGCAACTGGGTAGTTTGGCCCATCAATGCCCAGTCCCTGGCAGAGACCCAGCAGGCGGAGGCGGGCCTCAGCGGGGCTGGGCCCAGCACAGGCCACACTGCAGTAGGGCTCCTCATACTCACCAGGCACCAGGGCCTCCTCCAGCAGATTGAGGCGCAGCAGGCCCTGGTCATGCAGGGCCTGCAAAGTCTCTCGGCTAGCAGTGGAACTCAATGCCTGCAGGTGCTGGGACACCAGGCACATGACGCCCACGAGGTAGCCACGGGCACGTGGATGGGCAGGAAGGGCAGGCCGAAGGCCACAGGCCACCATAGCAGCAGCCAGCAGCAGATCCACACCATAGAGCTCCAGGATCCAGTCACGCAGGTAGAAACCACCCATGCGGGGGTTGATCTCGATGAGCCGAGGCCCTGCCCCAGTCAGCTTAAGCTCCACATTAAAGACCCCATCAAGCAGCCCACAGCCCAGGCAGCAGCGGAAGGCTGCCTGCACCATCTGTGCTTCCTGCTCTGGTGCCAGCCCTGTAGGCATGCAGGCTGCGGTCTCTGTGAAGCCAGGCAGCCTTGTGGGGCCATTGTCAGAGACAAAGGCGGCCAGCAGCCGCCCACCAAACACCACCAGGTCCACATCATGCTCAGTGCCCTCAACAAACTCCATTAGAAGCATGGCATTGCCCCAGCCCAGCCCAATGCCTGGGTGGTCAGCCTCACCCTGCAAGTCACGGGAGATTCGGGAAAAGTGCTCATGGCACTGTGGTGCATCTTCTACCAGCCGCACACCCACTGCACCTGCCCCAAACTCCAGCTTCATTACCCCTGGCAGGGGAACCTGGTGGACAGCCCTCTCCACATCAGCCTCACTCTCTAATGGACAGCAGGCCACAGCATGGATGGAGGGTGCAGGCCAGGGCGGGCCATGGCGGCGCAACAGGTGCAGCTGGGTGCGGCTCTTCTGTTTGGCCAGGCACATGGCAGCTGGGGAGCTGCAGGGCAGCCCCAACTCCTGGCAGAGCAGGGCCGTGAGCACCAGACAGTCATCCCAGTAGGAGAAGCAGCCATCCAACTTCAGGCCACGTGCCCGTACCAGCTCTGCCAGCAGCCTCGCATTCTCCTCATCCCTGTGGTGCTCTGTCACATCAAAGTGAATGAAGGTCTGCACCAGCTGAGATGCAAAGTGGTTGGGGTCCGATTCCACCAGGTGCAGCTGCAAAAACCACAGGAGGGCAGCACACCCAGGTCAGTAGGAGCTGGGTCCTGAGGAGACAGGATGGAGCCTGGGATGTCCTGTGGTCCCAGCCCAAAGGGGAGATGGGCTCATAAATACTAGCTGCTTAATAAATATTTGTTGATGATTCATTGATAGAATGGGTGGGACACCTACCCTGGAAGGGGTAGAAAGTGTCCTAAAGGAGAGAGTGCTAAGCTGGAAGCTGAAGAATAAGGTCAGCCAGAAGGAAGAGGAGGAAGCAGAGCCCTGCAGGGGGAAGCGGAGAATCGGGGTGGAGGGTAAGAGCACAGGGCATGGCAGAGAGTTCAGAAAAGCCTCAACCAAGACTTGGAGAGAAGCCACCAGGGTTGGAGCAGGGAGCAGGTGGTTTGCTCACTGGAAGGTACCCTGGGAGGAGTCCTGTGTCTCTAAAGTTTATGGCTTTGGGGAAACACAGACACAAAGCAGCTGACAGCCAGGGCAGAGGCAGCCACTGATGAGGTCCTGTCTGCACAGGGACACTTGGCATCAGGAGTAGGGTGGCATTCCCGTTAGTTAAAGCACTATTCAAGGTAGGAAGCAAAAAGACCGGAAGGCTGGAAAGGGGTTCCCCAGGGGGTGTTTCACTGTAGGTGAGGGGAGAGGAGGCTGCTGTGGTAGAGGAGGCTTGAGAAGGCCTCAGCTTTCTCATCTGTTCAGTGGGGATAAGAATGTCTAGCTCGCTCCAGGTAATGTGAAGCCACTGCTGTAAACTTGATTTGGGATCTGTAAGCTGCTCCCCAGCATCCTCGGCGGGCCCTAGGTACCTAGTGTGTGGAATTCACAAGACAGAACCAGACGCCCTAACCTGGCATTCAAAACGTGGGCTCTGGCACCAACCCTAAATCCCGTCCCTGTCCCCTTCCCACTTCTGCCCATCCACTCCGGCCTCCTCTCTGTGGAAGGCTTTGTGTTCTTCCCAAAGGCTTCTCATTCCTGGCGGGGAGAGAGCAGTTTAGTGTCCTAATCGCTAACAAGGATGTCCAGAGCAGGCCCCGCCCCTTCTGGCCCCGCCTCATTAACCAGCTCCGCCCCCGCCCAAGGCCCGCCCCTAGACCGGTTCCACCACTCCGGCCGCGGCTCGAAGCCCGGCCCCGCCCAGGACTCCACCCACCTTGAGCCCGTAGTCGCGCGCCGCCTCCCACACGAACTTCTTGCTGACTCCGCCGGCGCCAACCACCAGCAGCTGCTTCCCCTCCATGAGGCAGCGCGCCGAGCGCCGGAGCATGGTCTCCACGAGTGGCGCCGCCGCCGCCTCCTCGACCGCGGGCCCCAGGCGGGGCGCGGCCCACAGCCCCTCCAGCGCGCCGCAGGCCTCTAGGCACAGGCCGCCGTTCAGCTCCAGGGCCACTGGAGTCAGCTCGCGGCCGACCACTGTCAGTGCGAAGTCCACGCCTGGGCCGGACAGGGGGGCGCGGATTCAGCGCGGACGGCCTTCGGTCCTCGCCCCCAGGCACCCAGCCCCGGCCGCCCGCACTCACCAAGAAAGTCAGTGCGGGCCCGGCGCCCGCCGCGCTGCTCGGCGCTCAGGCCGGCCTCCAGCGCTAGCACGGCAGCCAGCGCAGCTTCAGCTGCAGCCTTGACGCGCTGCCGCACGACCGCCACCTGCGCTGGCTCGCCCAGTCCTAATTGGGCCAGCGCCACCTCCAGCGTACTTGGCAGGGAGTTCTGGTGCCGCAGAGGCCGGTCCCCA